GGGCAAGGGGGAAACTGCCCCTCCCCTGACGGTTTTTACCGGGCTGACCAAGCCGTCGTACCGGGCTGGGTAATAAGAGAAAAGAAAGAGGGGAGAGGGAGGGAAAGAGAAAGAGGAAAAGAAAAGGAAAGAAAAAGAAAAGAGAAGAGAAAAATAAAGACAAGAATAAAAAGGAAGATATCATAATGACCAGACTCACAACACCCTCCAACCCCTTCTCCACTTCAAAAACTGTCATAACTCCTTTCATCTATGCTGTCCGATGGCGTAACCACTGGGGGACAAGGGGAAAATATCTATCTTTGAAAAATCTTCCCCACCCCTTTATAAATGCCCTTTTCATCCCCTGAAAGTGCCTAAAAACCTCAAATTTCGCATTTCTTGTTAACATGGGCCAATTTACTCTAAAAATTGCACATTTTAGGGAGTTTTGATAAATTCCGACGAAATTAGAATTAAAAACAAAAATATTTTACGTTTTTAGGGCTTTTTAGGTTTATCCTTTTAAGTTATTTAAACTCATAGGCCATAATAGTCCCAAACTCAAGAAAGACAAATTTAAGATAGATTGTTTTAACCTAAAAGAAGGGCCTCGTGTATTGATGGTGAAAGAATATGTTTGTAATAAATAAAACCATGATGAAAATGCTTATATTTAGTTTCAAACACACGTGTGTGGCCTATATTATAAATAAGCCCTATGTCGTACTGTTTTCTATATGGGGAGTGGCGTGGGGTGGGTATGGTAAATTACTAACCGGGAAAATAAATACCCACTCTGACCCAAGACGTCTGTTACGCGCCTGGTGTTAGCGCCAATGTGTGCCCTTGTGCGGACAGGGGGTGTGCCCCCTCTGAAGCTGGAAACCTTGTTTTTGCAAAATAAATTGATGCAATTTGCTATTATAGGCCTAATCAATAAATTCCTCATCAACAGATTTAACCTTAAACATTCTTGGAATTGACATAACATTACTGATGTCGTACACACCCTTGAGTGTGAAATGTGGCTCTCTTTGCAAGCACATCTAACATCTAAGGAAAGAAGAGCTTAGATTGGTACCAGATAAAATAATTTTGTTATCAACATTAATACATTACGCTAATTTTCATCTTTGTAAGCGCATAAGACAGCCGGCCATTTAGAGGTACTATTTCCTTAAATTTTCTCACCTAAGCCCCAACCATGGTAGGGCTGAGGTGAAAATCACGGCTTTAATGTATGTAAAGTACATACTCAACTCAAAAACAATGTTTTTAAGCTTAATTTTCTATGGTACATCGCACATAATAATATCTTTATGGTTGCCGAAAATCCCTGATAAAAGATTATGAGAAATTTGTTGCCACTTCATTTTCACTAAAAATAATGACGTTGTGATTATGATAAATTTTAGGCCTACTAACAGTGTCATTTCTTTCTAGAGGTACTATTTCCTCAAATTTTCTCACTTCAGCCCCAACCATGGTGGGTCTGAGGTCGATGTCAACTCGCGAAATATCCCTACCCACTTTACCTTTCAAAACAGATCTACGCCCTTCCCTACCTAATTTTTTTGATGGAAAACAAAAAGAAAAATATATTCATATTTAAGTCTAAATTGTAATTTCCGGCCATCTACAGGTGCCCTAATCATAAATATAAATTTTCTTACCTCAGCCCTAACCATGGTGGGGCTAAGTTGGGTGGTTCTTCAGTCTGTGAAAGACCCTCTGGATTCCTGAATCCGCCACTGTTGAGTTATTATATAATTATTGTTAAGTTACTAATATTATTTATGATGTGTCTATTACAATTTCACTTTTTCCTCTCAAAACATTCCTAAAAACTTTCAGTGTTCGCTACTTCCCAGGGGGCTTCGCTCCTGGACTCAACCGGGGTCCTACGTACCTCGCATAACGGCTCTCCACTTTCAAAAATCCTGGCTACGTCCCTGAACTATGGTCTGTGGTACAATGTAACTTTTGCCGTTAAATGAAGTTTTAATACAAGCTATTAAAATTCAAAACAAAATAAAATTATTAAAATTTGTTCTTTCAGATTAAAGAATCAATGTCAAAAAATGACATGCTTCTTAAAAAGTATGTGTGTCTTAAGTGGAAATACATGTGTCAACGCATTCTTCTATGCAGCCAACGAGGATCGTCCCTTAAGGAATGTATATTCAAAAACTTTGAGAAGTTTATGCGTGTTTTAAATTTATTTCCATTTGTTTGGTGTATACTAGTAGTAGGTCTAATATTACTGCTACTTTTTATAGTAAAGCGTTAGTGGAAAAAATAGAGAAAAATACAATTCCAACTTACAGGAAATAACAAAGAAAGCAACAAAATATAATTCCTATAAAAATATATAAACCGTACTTTCCTGATATAATAGTAAATGAAACACCAGACATGTGGTAATTCAAGACCAGTTTCATTGACAAATCACTAGCTTACTATGTATGTTTGTAAGAC